TATGAAATTGCATTCCCTTTTTCCTTGCAGAAGCATTTTCTTTTGAAGAAAAGAATGCAGTTTGATTTTATACAAATAAATAACAGGTTTTACATACCTTTAAATTTAAAAAAGCCTCAAGAAGAGGTGAGGTCCCTCCTCATAGATACAGCTTGCAGAGTAATTGGACATTCATTTTAGATATATTTACATTATAATCTTATCTTGATAGTATTACATATAACGTATTATTTCTGTACATAGTCAGGATATGCTGTTGGTCATGTTAAAACAAACTGTCTAAAGGTATTTACAGGCCACTAGCCTCTAACTTACCAACCATCTCCCCAAAGTGGCATCAAATTTAAGGGGTAAGGTACAAGACATTCTCTTTATTGTTAGCCATGGCCTTCTCTTTCTTATGCATCATTATTATTGTTATTACTCTCATCACTGCAACGGCGATGTGCTTTGGAGAAGGGCTATCTTTGGGTTCAGGGATGGAGCCACCAGCAAAAGCAGAATTTAATCCCTCTCCACAATCTTGATGAGCCATGCGGAGCTGAAAAGAAACCCAGCTGTGACCTGTATGTCCTTTTGCAGGCTGGGGCAGGCCAGGCCCATCCTCCTGTGCTTTCTTCAGTCCTGACAGGTGAAACAGTCTGAGCAAACACTGAATACTTAGAGAAATGCCGTCTTTCTGAAGACTACCTAAACACATACTGCATTCATTCACCATCAAATATCAAGAATATCCAGTTGTCCCAGACAGTCAGAGCACTTTGGATTATCTAAAGGAAGAGAGTTTCTATGTGCTTCTTTGCAATTATGGTTTGAAAAAGAAAAAGTAACTCAATGCCACTTTTCAGCTTATCAACAGTTTTGAAGTGGGGAAACAAATCAGAATTTGTTTGCTGTTATTCAGTTAATGCTATAATGAAAAGTGAACAACAAATCTATCAGATATCCTAAAATATGAGGCCTGGGAGGACTGTCACACTGCTATAACACACTAGTTCGGTGATGTAGAAAAGGAGGCTGTAGCAAAAATGAGGGAAGTAAAAATAGAGGAGAAATAATTGCATTGATTGTGGTAAATGATTCATGTCCAGCTCACCCTTGCTATAATTACATTCCTAGGATTGGTTTCTCAGTGAATGCTCTGCTAGTAGTACCCTTTGGAATAAAAGGAAATTCAGGGGAATGGTCGGCTGCCTGACTACTGCAAAAGGTATAAAATAACCTGTGCATTTTGCTGTATGATACCGCAGCACAAGAATACTCCCTTTTTACCATTATCTACTGTTGTTTCTACTGTTGCTTCTTATTTGGAGATGGCTTATTTAAAATTGGGAAAGGAAACAAATTGTCTTGGCTTTGTTTCATGTAAGGACTTTTTAAATCCGTACAAAAAGGATTTATGAGACATCTCACTTCACAGAGAGGTTTTGACTTCAGTGAGTATGATTTGCATGTTAGAGAAGGCTGTATTTTTGGTGGGGTTAAGGTGCTCGAATAGTAGTACTCAGGATGCCTGGAAGACAAGAGAAACTGCACATCTGTCACTAAAACAGAAGTGACAGATACTTGTTAAAGTGACGGAGAAAGAAAGCTTTTTGTCAAAGACACTGACAAAAGAGGAAAGGCAGGCAGAGAAACAAGAAAGGAAGCCAAGACAAATTAAGGATCATCTATCAGCTTCTTTCAGGGAAAGACTTTCTGTAATTTGAAAAAGAAAAAATTCTTAGAAGCTTAGAGATTTTCAGGATATAGAGGACCAATAAATGGGATATTATATAGAAATCATGTCCCCAGCAAGCATCTCTAGCTGTGTTGCATAAAATGTCTGCAGAGTCAAGGCAGGAGAAGAAAAGCTGCCCACCAGGGTTGCACAGACTGTGGAGCTGCTCAGATCCCAACCACTCTGGATAAAGACATCTCTATCAACACATCTCCTTCACAAGTGAAATATGATAGATTTAGCATCTGTCCTCATCAGGCTCTTTGGATACAAAATAACTGCTGTTGGGGTCAATTTGAATACTTCAGTTCCCATGAGCACTCTAGAGCTTGGAAAAGAAAAAAAAAAAAAAAAAAAGGAAAGAAATCTGTACTTCATGGATTTTTTTTTGTTTTTGGACTATTTTTCACCAAATAATGTTTGGACCCTGTGGTATCCCCAAATGTACCCTCGTGATTCCTAACAAATAAAGAGAAAATCTTAGACAGAAAGCTGACAGATATTTTTTTCCTTAGATTTTGGAAAATAGATTTCTCAATATTACTTCAGCTGACAATTGTTAGATCTCTTTTCCTTTTTCTTTTTTTAACCACAGTTGACTATAATGCTCACGGAAGATGACAGTTGGATTGACACATCTGCAGGTTGCTGCTTTCTCTTTAGAGATTGAAGGTAAGGATGGCCTGTAACAGTACAAGTCACTCCCCGTGGGGCTGTAAGCATGACAGATCCTGCTGTAGCGGACCCAGTATAAAGGCTGAGGTCTCTTCCAGCATCCTTGTGGAAATTATTAATTAAGAGGGAGAAAAGAGGAAGGCCAAACGTGATCTCTGCAGGTTTGTTTGGTTGTTTCTTTGTTTATTTATTTTCTGCTCTATGAAGTACCTGTATAGTTGTTTCTGCTCTATGAAGTACCCCAATTTATGTGGGAAATGACAACTGCCAGCCTTGTACCTATGGTGGAAGTGCAGCTGGGATTCTTTCCCCAGCCAAGGCGTCCGAGGGGAAGCTTCCATGGCAAGGCAACGGGAAGCTATAGGGAGCACATTGGAGAGCAGAGCTTATAGCTTGCATCTCTTAATGCAAGCTATATGTGTCTTTATTTGTGGGAAGAATTCATGATTTATGAGCAAGTGTGAGCTTCAAAAGTCATTTTGTAGTGCATTTGCTCACTTGCTGGAAAAATAAAATTAAAAAATGTCTTATAACAACATACAAACCATTCCTTCCCATTTTGTGAATCTGTATTACTGCTGAAAGAAAGGAGCAGCTGGATTTCCTTCAGAAAGCTTTTCCGAAGAAAAAAGATTTAGAAAATGAACAGATTCATTTTACTTCTGATTTTTATCTGGATTTTCAACATGTTAAGATAAAAGAATGATACAGAAATGAACCAGTAAGTCTGTCCTTTGAGCTGTCAAGATATGCCTAGGGAATGTAGTTTTGAAAGACATGCAAGCACCTAGTTTTGCAGGCCTTATCATTGTGTAATCCTTCCTTACAAAGAGGAAGATGAAAATTGTAATAGTAAACATGCTTCAAGGTGAGTGAGGATTGCAAAATTAGATCTTTGGCTGCATGGAGACACTAAAATATACTAGCACAAAATCACTGGAGGTTTTAAATTAATGAATACATATTAAGACATATTAATCTCAGATCTAATGTGGTCTTAATTTACTGCAATTTAATCCTCTTCATTTTCCCTTTCTGCCAGGAACTTGTACCTTGAAACATGAAAACTGTCATATTGCCAAAGTGCTTTGACATTCAGTTCCAATAAGCTTCTAAAAAGGTAAAAATTGCATATGAAAGATTAATTCCCCCATAATCCAAAAGGCTGCTATTTTGAAGTGCTTTTTGGAAGACTCTAATACAGTGTTATGAAATAATAGGATGATTTGGTTTTCCATTTGGTAGGTGGCTTTCACTCCAGAAGACAGTCTCTCTGGAGACTGTCAATGTAGCAAGCAACGTTTTGGATAAAAAAAATCCATGGTTGTACCTTCATTAGGGCCTAGAGGTTAGATTTAATAAGTAGGAGGTAACTGGAATATGCAAAACTTACAGATAGCAGTTTTCAGTAATTTGAAACTCAGTTGTGCTACAGTAAATATCAAATACTGAAAGAGTAAATTCTTCACCAGGTAGAAAGCATCTGAATTTGAGCTGGTGTGGAGTAGTAGAGCATGTCTGGAACTTAACTCCCACTGGCCCCCATCCAAGCTATTTCAGTATCTGGTTAAGTATAATCATAGTTTTCCTCCTGTCCTTTATTACTGTAATCCCTTGGCATACAGTGAAAATATTGCTTCCAAATGGCACAAGGTAACCTAGTTAATATCTCTTCCACAGAGCAAACAGAATAGACCATTGAAGGACACTGGTTTTATGCTAGGGACTTAGGTAGAGCTGGTCCATATGTACATATCAATCCCTTTTATTCTCTTCATGAAATCTTCATTCTGTAGTGCCTCAGCATATCTCTTCACCTGATTATCCAACATTACAAGGATGTAACCTCCATTTTTCCTAGTAATAATCTTTGGTCACTAGCCCTTAGCTGCGGCCCTTAATCTGGCCATTGTGATGGCTGTTTTGATGAGACCTTCAAATTTACATTGTCTTTTAATATTCAAGTCTTGTGCCATGGACTAGTAAGGTATAGAAAAGGCAAAACCATAGGGGAGATGCTACATAAAAGACAAAATAAACAAAATTGTCTCAAAGGCTTTGGCTCGTACGGATGCTGAAACAGTCTTAGGGTACAGCAATTTGTAAATGAATGTGTTTTTCACTTTTATTATAACTTAGTGAAGACATCACGAGACAGAGCTTCCCAAAAAGTGAGAACTGGCAGATTGTAAATAATAAACACATTGGCAATAGTTATATATTGAGCATAAATATACTTTCAGAACCAATGTAGTTTTGAAAACTTGTAGGAGTTTGAAAACTTTGTAGGAGTGTCATAAACATCATAAAACAACTATCACCATAATTTGCCTAACATTAAGGTTCTTACATGAAAGCGACAAATTTAGTTAGCTTTAAGCTTTGGAAAGCTTCTACTATATTTCATTTGGACTGTCCAAAATCCTTCTAAACCTAAATGACTCTTCCATGCTGTTGTAGTTAAAATTCCCTTACACTTCCCCTTCCCTCCTCAATCCCCTAGATGGAGACCTATTAAATAGATGTAGAAAGAAAATAGTTAGAGATTTTAAAGCCCTTCTGCAGAGTACTCTTGGAAAGCAAGGAACTGTGCCTCCCGTCCACATACTTGAGTAACTCCTCATATCTTCCCCTTGTCCTCAAGATTTATTGACAATAATTTAAAAATAGTTTTAAGTGTAGTTCTCAGGGATGGAGCTATTGCCCCATGTCAGTATTTTCACTAGCATCCTGGATTGCACATTCTATAGTGGAGCATAAAGTGCTATGGCATTGTTTTTTATTCAGCTTGGAACTTCTTCACCCTTTCTGTTATTAGTTTTTATTATTATTATTATTTTTACCTTGTAGCTCCTATATTCTTGTAATGACACATAAGAAGGTGCTTAAAGGTCTTCTTGAAAGTAGCATTGCAGAGAGCATAACAAGCAGGGTTGATGGTGCTGTTGATATAACAGAGCCAGTAACCTATAGTCCATACAGTACCAGGGATGCAGGATGTGCAGAAGCTATTGATGAGCACCATCACATTGTATGGGGTCCAGGTGATGATGAAGGCCAGGAGAATGGCCAAAATAGTCCTTGTCACTTTTTTTTCTCTAGAAGGAGGCAGTTTCTTTTTGGCTGGCTGCTTTGTCATCTTGACAATCTTGCGGGCTACACTGTTTTGCTTCTCCTCTCCATTAGTGCCTACAATTTCCACGGTTGTGTTGGCGGATGCACAGCAGTCACCCTTCTGTGACTTGGTGACTATCCTGATGCAGGTCAGCTTGGAGTTCTCCACTTTGAGATGGTCCTGGGAGACAGAAGCCTGGCTGGACTCTTTGGCAGCTTCATCCTCTTTCATGTTGGAGGCGACAACACTGACAGAGGTGGAGTCATTGGAGCTTTCTTTTTCTTCCCCTTGAACACAGTTCTCTGTTACAGACTCTCCAGTGGTTTTCCCATTCTGGATTTTGCTGTGCACCCCATCCCCACTGGTTGAGATGTTGTTATTGTTTGGTTTCACTATTTTGTTTTGGACAAGGCTGGGGGAAACTGGATCCTGGTTTTGGGCAGCTTCCTTTTTCCCTTTCTTTATCCGACTCTTGCTGGCTCGAGAGATTTGCCAGTAAAGGATAGTCATGATTATAACAGGCAAATAGAAGGCTGCAATTGCAGTGCCAAAAGTGACGGCAGCATTGGAAAAAAACTGGATGTAGCAATCCCCATCTGGGACAGTCCTTCCACCCACAATGAACTGCCAGAAGAGAATTGCAGGGGCCCACAGGATGAAGGACAGCACCCAAGCAGCTGCAATCATCATGCCTGCCATCTTAGTGGTCCGCTTTACAGGGTATGTCAGAGGCTTGGTGACACAGAAATATCTGTCAAAGCTGATAATGAGGAGGTTCATTACAGAAGCATTGCTGACCACATAGTCAAGAGCCAGCCAGAGGTCACACACCACAGGCCCTAAAGGCCAGTAGCCTATCACAGTATAAAGGGTATATAGGTTCATGGAAAAGATGCCGATGATCAAGTCAGCACATGCCAAGCTGAAGAGGAAATAGTTGTTGACAGTCTGCAGGTGCCTGTTGACTTTTATTGACACCATGACCAGGATGTTCCCAATTATGGTGACTAGGCTGAGAGACCCTGCTACCAGGACGATGAAGACCACCTCCACAGTTTTATAGGGACTCTGCAGAGCCATCACATTTTCAGTGGAAGAATTTACGTACGTTGAGTTATTCATTTCTGTGCTGCTAACAAGCTACCGAGTTTGATACTTAAACCTGCAGAAGATAGAAAACAAAACAATACTATTATAAAATTATTCCCTTTACATTTGACAAATGGAAGTCAAAAAAAAAATATGGAAAGAATTTAGAAATAGCAATCTGTGTGCAGAAAGACCGTTCAGCTATGCCTAATTAAAATACCTAGCATTCCATTAGGAATAATTTAACAATAGGATTTGACTAAGTATGTGACAAAGCCATACCATTTGAATATAAACCTAAATTTTTAAATCTTAGCATGCAGTTTTCTCTTTATTCTATTATAAAATGTAGAATGACTTGAAAATTTGCAGACTAGATCTATTATTGATTCCAACCATCATGTGCAAGCTCAGTTTGTTCATTTAAAATTAACTTCTAAATAAAATATACAGCTCTGAGAATATGTGATTGTTGTAACCTGAGGTGAAGATGTAATTTATGATGGACTGGATCACAGAAGGGGACCTATCTTTCCTTCGTGTTAGAATTGGGTGTATTTCTGTGAGGTTTCTGGAACAAGTTTGTCTTGTCTCTCCCTTCTCCTTTTGTTATACTGTAGTTGCTTCTTTTGTCAGCATTTGCAAAAATGCTGGCACTGCATCAAACTGAAATTATGAGTCCGTTGATAAAAAAAGCATCGATCTGTTGAAGTTGATAGAAATATAAGACTAATTTCAGCTAAGTATCTGACTGTCTGTGTGTGCAACATCTTTGTTGTTGTCATTTCTAAGTTGTGAGATTATTTAAAGTGCCTTTGTGTGTCATCTTGGCTACTTATGCTTGGAAGAAGGGATTTTTTTTCACATGAAGAGGTCATCTCCTGATTCTTGTTTGCTCATAAGCTTGTTTGCTTATACTTGACTCATTTTTATTTCAGATAATAATATGTTTTAATCTATATTATATAAAAGTATAACATAAAGTATGGAGTAGCAGGCAAATGAAAAGAAACAAACAAAAATCAATTCTATTCCTACTCAGTAATCCCTTTCCTGCTCCATATTGACACTTCTAAATAAACAGTATTTAATATACTAACACTATATATTTGATAGACGACCATGAAAACAGCACATGCTTTTGCCTTAGGATATGTACCATCCTTTTGTGCATCCCCTGGAAATCAATTGAATGCACTGGAATTGTACAGCCAGTCTCTGAGCACTCATTATTTATGAGCTGTGCTCCAGGGATTACTGAGCCATGAAGGCCAGATGTGACAGAGAAGTTAGATCGCTTCTAATTGGAACGTTTTCCTTTTTTTCCTCAACAAGGCACCACTTTTTGTTTAGGATAGATCTTCTAGAAGTATAACAGGTGTAACTGAAGGAAGACAAAATATTCAGTTAGTTGGGTTTGTTTCCTCTATACTTCAGGGATTTAAAAATCCTTCTCTGGCCCCTGTAACAAACCTGTTGATGCTTAGGCACATACAGTCCATGTCATTTAAACACAGCAAAGCATTTTCATTGTCATTTCATCACCGCATATTTTCTTTCAGTTCAAAAAGTGGAAGTCAATGTCAAATATGAGCAAAACAGCAAAAGTCCTTGTGAGGTCTAAGAAAAATAAGCATATCTATGTCTGTGGAAAAGTCAAAATGCTACATCAAGCTGCAGGCTCTGTATTTCAGGTAATATTGTGATCTTGTAATTTATACCCAAAGAAATTCAGCTGGCTGAATGTGGGGCTCATGAGCTTGTCTTTGCTTTTAAAGACAGATGAGATTTGTTTGAGAATTCTGTGGAGAAGTGAACACATGGATAAACAGAAAAACATAAGGCCGGACAGATAATTTTTCCTAGTATTTGTTCACAGGTACATCCCCGGAAGACTTGTCAAGAGTTCAAGAGAACACAACTATGAGGAGCGGTCTGATAATGAGGAAGAAATGCTTCAATAAAGAATATGCTCTATACAGTACGAATAGGCTGATGGGAATATATCAGAATATATGCTCTGTACAAAAAAAGAAAGAAAGAAAAAAAAAAGAAAACAGGCAGGAGAATAACCTAGACATCTTCAATCTATAGAACTGTCATTTCAGCAAATCACTGTGTGCTTTTTCACCTTACAGCTGCGCAACTGACTCTCTAGTTAGATGCATAAGATAGCAATTTTTTGGGACAAGCTAAGAACTTCTACTAAGCAGAGCTGTTTATAAATATTCTTGACAGAATTCATTTTTGATGAAAAGATGAAATAACTCACAGAGATGTATTGATTTCACAAAAGATTTCAGCTGAAAAGAGTTTGCAATCCAGGGCTCTCCAGCTAACTCTGGTGACACAGTGAGAGAGGGAGCAAGATAGTCTGGGAAAGGGAGAGAATAGGTTGAGAGAGGGGATGTGAGCTGAAAAATTCATGCCTTTTGATCAACAAATAAGTGTTTTTGTATATTTCCTTTTGCAAAACGCTCAGAGATTTTGCTTTCATTCCACTGAAAATCTAAAATTAAATTTGAAACTTTGAAAGCTGATGGGAATGGAATTACCATCTTCTAGCTAGCTTTATTCCTAACTCTTTTCAGAAGATATTTTTATCTACTTCTAGTATGTATACATCGGTTATTCAGGAGTGAATTCCCTGGAGATAATTACAGGGGGTGCAAGGATTTGGGTGAGACTGAAAGGCTAATTTCACTTGTTAGAAATAGAATTTTGGTGGATTCTTTTCAACAGAAACAGTACAAAGGAACCCCTTTCCCAGTGACATCTCTCTGCACTAAACTTCTGTGCCATGACCAAGTTGGTAGGTCTGTCCTGCGAATCACATTAGCTACTACTGCTTTCTTAGGTACCGAAAAACATGAGGACCATTCTGCTGTCAGTTGCTCAGGTACAATCTTCTCTTGCTTGCATTGATATGATTGTCAAGTGAAACACATTTTGTGCATGTGTGTTGATGAGAGGGCACAAGCTTGAAGAAAGGACTTTGTTTCAAGCAACATATTCATCAGTTCTTTGCTCATATGAGCTGCAGGGTATACATGTACTTCCTAATCCAAGAGTCTCTGAAACATTCTGGACTGTTTTCTGCTCAATCCAGGGGGATCTGAATCAGCCACATATTGAGGTTCTGTGTCTTATGGTGGCCAGTTGCTCCTTGGGTACAAGACTGCCTGTGGACTGCTTTTTTTGTCATGCCACCAGTTCATCACTCCTGTTGGAGAGGCAGTTGTTATAGAAACAGATGTTGTTCATCAGGCAGACTTAAGGGGCAGAGGCATTTCAAGGTAATACGACTTCCCGTTATGAGAAGTACCAGATCTTATTCTTGAACAAACAGTGCTCTCCTCTGCAAACCCATGAGTATTAGTATGAGTTGCACAATATGGTACTGAATCCTCTGGGTTACTGTAATTTATTCTTGTATACAAAACGCATTCCTGTTAAACAGAGAATATCCAGAAAAGGCAGGAAATCTCTCTTGTGACCCAAAAGGCAACTACATTTATTTTCTGAAATATATTTTAAAATATATATGACTGGGCTCTTTGCAAACACCATAATTACTACATGGAAAAAGTCCAAGGCCATGAAACTCACATATAAAATAATGCATTGTTTGATAAGTAAATGGGAAACTTTTCCAGTGCAGTACTTTCTTCTCTCTAAAAGATTATTTCACAGTGGAAAAAATCATTTCCATCCCCTCTTTTGACTAAGGTTTTGGGTAGGACCAGAGGATTTAGTGGCTCATTCTGTATGTAAACCTTTGGCACTGCGTGCCTCCAGGTCTTTCTGCGGCCAGCAGGGCCATGGCCATCAGAAGCAGGCCACTGACACAGGTTGCTGAATGAGGATGCCTGGCGCCTCTTAAAGTGAACTGTAGTCCAGCCTCATATAGGTTGCCTGTAAGCTTCCCAGGGCATGCTAGAGCCATGGGTATGTGAAAACAGATGTGTCTCCCACACTTTCCTTCATTTTTCTCCCTAGCAGTCACGAGGAACAGCACAGCTGAGGTCTGCTGAGGTGGATTTGTTCCTACAAACTGATGTTTTACATGGGCACTGCAGGGCAAAATGATGCTGTTTGGGTCATTCATTCTGTTTCTTTGTAGTCCCTGTGAAAGCATGCAGAAATACGAGGGCAAAGAGAGGAGATGTGAAATGGATGTACCCCTTAGGATCACTAGCCTTAAATATACCACATATGAATTACATACTACCAGCTGGGCTTTCCACCACCCCTGAGAGTATCCCATGCCTTTGAGATATATGAATCCTGTAGTGCTCTTTGCAATTCTTCTTTTAGAACATATCTCCAACATCTGACAGAAAACTGACGATGGAAATTCTGGATATACTGGAAAAATTGGCTGATATGTCACACCTGTCAAAGTTTATCAAACAAATCTTTCTTTTGTATTGTGTATATTACCAAGATAAATATGGTAACAATTTAGCACTTCTTTGAAATCTATGAAGCCATATAAAGACCAAGAGATTAAAAGGGAAGCAAACAATCTATACCTGAAAGCTATATTTGTGGTTTAAATAGGATTACCCAGGAACCTCTGAGTATTTTCCTGCATGCTACTCTCAAACAAAAATAAAATATATTTTTTCTGATGTTCTCTCTCTTTTTCTTTGATCTAGTTTCTCTCTAGTCTAGACCTATGCAAAATGGATTTTATTTTTGCTGGTAGCAAGAATAGATTCTTTTATTTTCCTCAAACTCATTTTGCTAGTGAACTGCACTGTTGTGGATCACTCTTGACACCACTTACAGCCACAGAGTTAAACAAAAAGAAGAAAAAAAGAAAAAAGGAGAGAGAAACAAAACCCCTAAGACCACGACAAATATACTAGGCATATTTATTAGAATTTGTCACAGACTTTAAAAGAAATGACAAGTCTTATCTGGGCTTCTCATAAAAAAAAAATCAAAATATTCCCAAATATTGGAAGATCAAATATTTCTCTGCATGGATTACCTTTTGTAACCCATCTGAAACTAGATGCAAAGTGTCTGCAAAGTGTAACTGCCTCCTTATTGCCATGCAGTTTT